TTAAGTAACTCTGGCCTGAGTCTGGGCAGCAGGTGACCCTGGATTTCTTATCCCTGTTGCTCAGGCCTCATTGTCCACGAAGGCTCCTCTGTCTACCGCATCTTCAAGCGCTGGCAGGCAGTGAACCAGCAGTGGAAGGTCCTGAATTACGACAAAACCAAGGACATAGGAGGAGATGCAGGGGGAGGGACGGCAGGGAAGCCGGGCCCTAGGACCTCACGGACGGGCACCCCCTCTGGGGCCACTAGCCGACCCCCAGCTGCCCAGCGCATGCGGACGCTCTTGCCTCAGCGCTGTGGTTACACAATCTTGCACCTCCTTGGACAACTACGGCCACCAGATGCCCGTTCCAGTTCTCATTCTGGCCGAGAGGTTGTCATGAGGGTCACCACGGTTTGAACTTGGACTACAGGAGTGGGGATCTTGAGTCAATGCATCAGCGAGAGATAAGCTGTCATGGCTGCTGGAGGTACCACCTGGACAAAGTGTTTGAGGCACACTGCTCCCACCACTGAGGATCTCTACAGGCAGCTTCAAGCTGGAGACATTGTCTGGCCTCGACTGCCCACTGGGTAGAGTCACCAGGGTAACATTCGAACCCTCACTGACAGCTCCTCACACTCATCCTGAGATGGCCACAAGGCATGCAAGGAGAGCATCTTTTTTCCCTGGAGAGAACCATCTTTACCTCAGCTCCTAGCTCCACCACGGTGACTTGGTGAAGGGGGACCAGTGCCAGAAGAAAGGGGCTGTAGACCCCCATTCCTCACCCCATGGCCACAGGGCATCTGGCAATAAGACTAGTATACATTGACCTCCCGTTCCCTGCATGAGGGCGGGGGACTTCTCCCTGCTCCACCCCCCCATTGCATGGGGGAAGGGCATAAAGAATCATTTATATGCACGTGGAGACTCCTTTCTCATCTGGGGTTTTTCTGGAGGGTTGGGAAGTGTGTGGAGGTTTCTCTGCACAGGTTATAAATCCCAAATGCAGCAGTGGGTTCTGAGTTGTAAGTGTGACTCCCACTTGCTGGTGAATAATTCACTTTGGCTGCTAGGTGGCAGTGCTCAGAGGTATTTAAGGGGTGGACCTGCCACCTGCGAGTTGTTATTTAGAAAAAAATCTCTCAGCTGTGGTTTTCCTGTCTACCTCATAGGATTGGAATGAGGATAAACGAAAGACAGGTTGGATGCCATTGCAAAGAAAATTGGTAATGGCATAAAAAGATTTCTAGACTAGTTAATGGTCCATTTATTTCAAATAGTAGCTGGTATAACAAATTCCAAAATGTGTTTTTCATCTGGAGTTGCATAGAATCTTGGAATTTTGTGTTGAGTGACATAATAGATATGGAAATATGAGGGGAAATAGACATTGCAAATGTGAAGGATGGTGGTTATTTGTAAGAATGAGAACTCCCCTGACCAAATACTGGGGTACAGGGAAGGCTGTAGCCATCCATTTTGTTCATTTAGTCCTTCCCAGGTATCGTGTTCACCCAGAAAAGTGATGTGAAGTGAATATGGACTCATTTGGAGTGAGATGGAGGGAATTCCCCAATGTTAGGAGTCTCCAACTCCAGTTTAAGCTATTCCTATGGCAATTTAGGGTCACAGGTCTGATCCTGGCATGCCCAGCTAGTGGTGTTAATGGAAGGTAGTGTGCTTGGAGGCCACAGCATAGGGGACTGTTTACAGAGAAAAGATTTGGGAAGGACTGATTAAAATGTGGTCAGTTTGAAGCCTGGTCCCTTTTTTCTGTGGCCTTGGGACTGTGTATTATATGAATGATGGTGTCTTTCAAGTGAACTATTCATTAGCAATTAAAATAATTCCTTCATACACTGCTAAAGTCAGATCTAGAGGCCTTTCTTATTATTGGTCCTTCTCTCAGGGAAGGTTCTGTTCTGCCTCCTCCCTGGGATTGTTTTGGAGGAAATACTTTTCCTCTAAAGGCCCACATACGCTTGCTAGGGAAACCTTCCCTCTCCCAAAGTGGTCTTGGCCGCTGTCCATGGTGCTGGCACCGAGACTTGCCCCGGGGTATAGGAACCAAAGCTGGGCTAGGGTCTGAGTGTAAAAACATATCACTTCCAACTTCTGAGGGGATCAGTGTGGACAGGGGCTGAGGCTGAACCTTCCACCTTCCCAGTGGAGATCTGTTTTCCTAGAGCAGTAACCCTCTACACTCCCCACATGGGGAGACAGAGTAGCCAGATTTTATTGATTTGCCATTCATGGAAGAGCTCATGGGGACCCAATGGGAGACAGCAAGTCAGAGTGACTACTAATACCTATACTGGCACTAGGGCTTAGGGAGATAAGACACAGGTGTGGGGCTTCCTGTGCCAAAGCTGGGCTGCCCGCTGTGATGGCTCTGCGTGGAAGGTTAGACACAATCAAGAACATAGAAGTTCACACACAGACACATTGTCTCCATTTCTACTCTGGGTCCTAAAAACAGGCCAAGTGAGGTGGTACTCCTTTTGTGATGATGGAAGTCTTGATATGGGAGTTGGCTCAGTAATTATTATGATCTTCTCTTTTTCCTTTTTTTTTTTTTTTGGCTGGGGCTGGGTTTGAACCTGCCATCTCCGGCATATGGGACTGGCACCTTACTCCTTTGAGCCACAGGTGCCACCCTCTCTTTTTCCAACTTAAAGAGATCCTTGCCTAGGAACTTCTGCCTTCTTCAGTCAGTGGGCGTTCCTACTTGGCCAGTGAGGAATAAGGAATGTGGAAAGGGTCTGACAGCAAGCTGGGCTTTATTGCCCCTTGAAGCTCAAATCTGCTAAAATATGGGTCACTTAGGTTGAAATACAGCTCAGGAATAGGGGAGTAGGGGCGGAGATTGAGTGTACAGTAGAGGAGTTGGCAGGAGGGGCAGTAAATGCACAAAAACCTTGTCTCTGCACAAGGCTTAGGGTAGATCTTGCATAATTAGATCTCCCTGCAGAAAGCTTGGTGGATAATAGAGTTTGCCTGATCAGGGAGCCATGTCTAGGGCATGGGGCTGAGGTGGTGCAGGAGAGGAAGTATGAAGTGAAATCTCCATCTATACCCAGCTAATTGGAATGGGGTGAGGGGGTTGGGAGAGGGGCAAGTCCTGACATGGGGAGGGTAATCTGGGATATAGAAGGAGCTGTGCTGAGTGTGCTGAGAGATTTATTTGGGTGGAAGATGAGTTAATCTGTATACATAACAAAGGAAGAACCATGCCCAGCCTCTGGGGGACCAGCGCATGCTGACTCAGGGAAATAGTCTCCTCTGCCCACCCCCCTTCTGCCTTGGTGCCTGAGGGCTTCTGGCCACCCCCACACTTGGTTTTCATCCTGTCTTATGCCACTTCTCTGCCTGTAATTCCTGTCTTTCTCTGGAGGAAATTATCTTGGAGCAATTCTTCCAGAGAGGGCAGAGTGGCCGTTTTAGGATGTCTTTAGGTTCCAGTAGTCTAGGTCCTAAAATCACACCAACAGTCAGCAGCCTCTGCCCATCTCTGCAAAGCCCCAGCTCCCAACCCATTTTGCAATTTAGCCCCTGCAGTTACTTTTCACCACCACCCCCTTTTAGAGGAAGCCACACTAGACTTGGCTATTCCCATTCCAGACCGAAATGTGTCTAGGTTTGTACTACAAACCACTTTCAGGTGTCCAGGATCTGAGAACCAAGTTGGGAAGTGGGGGTCAGGGTTTTGCCTCCAGGTCTTACAGGAAGTGGGAGAGGAGGAGAATTCAGTCAAAAGTCTAGAATGGAACATTTGATTTTTTAATTTTAAAGCTTATAAATATTTAAACTTTTCAATAGAAAAAAGGCAGAGGTCTGGATAGGGACAGTCTTAGAGATGTCTCTGCCTGGGAGCTAAGTGGTAGTGCAAATTCACTTGATAGTGACCAGAGATCCAAGGAGAGTTTTAAAAACTCATTTATTTATTATTATTTTTAAAGACAGAGCCTCAAGCTATCTCCCTGGCTAGAGTGCCGTGGCATCACAGCTCACAGCAACCTCCAACTCCTGGCTCAAGTGAGTCTCCTGCCTCAGCCTCCCAAGTAGCTGGGACCACAGGTGCCCGCCACAACACCTGGCTATTTTTTTTTTTTTTTGGTTGCAGCTGTCATTGTTGTTTTGGCAGGCCCTGGCTGGATTTGAACCCACCACCTTAGGTGTATGTGGCTGGTGCCTTAGCCACTTGAGCCACAGACGCTGAGCCTTAAAAACTCATAAACCAGGCTCGGGGGCCTGCTAAACAACAATAACAACTGCATAGGGCACCAGCCACATACAACAAGGCTGGCAGATTTGAGCCCAGCCTGGGGCCTGCTAAACAACGACAATTGCAATCAAAAAAAAGAAAGCCAGGTATTATGGTGGGCGCTTATAGTCCTAGGTACTTGGGAGGCTGAGGCAAGAGAATCACTTAAGCCCAAGAGTTTGAGGTTGCTGTGAGCTGTGTGATGCCACGACACTCTACCGAGGGCGACATAATGAGACTCTGTCTCAAAAAAAAAAAAGAATAAAAACTTATAAACCAGGCTAGGATAGAGTCACCTTCCTAGGGGTAAGATAAAAAAGGACACGGGCCTGCCATATGGTCCAGATTCAATCTGGGAATGTGTATGGTGTTACCTAATCAGACACAGGTATGTCCCCACTGACAGGGGATATAAAGACCAAATAAGGCCTCACCCTGCCTCTCAAAGGGCTTGCATGCAAAGAGGAAGAACCAACCAGGTATAGACCAGATGCACAATTACTCAGCTGATGTCATAAGGCAGCACTGATGAACACCGTGGGAGCACCACAAACACAGTGGTCGAACCCTTCCTCAGCCACCCAGCAGTATTAATTAAAATCTGAGCTAGCCCTTGAAGGATGTACATATGACCAGAAGGCCCAAGCTGGTAGAGGAATCATGGTTTTGGGGGGGCCTAATGAGTCAGGCCAAATGCATACTTCACACACTGGTCAGGGTGAGGGTTGCTTCAAACACTTTGCTATGGTGTAGGATGAAGATAACAGCCTCCTCCCACAGGACTATCTGTCCACAAACTGTAAGTTGATGCTCCTCTCAGGTACCAGGACAGTCCGTGTCATGGGTCTGATTGGGGCAGCACCTGGCTCAGGCTGTACCTCAAAATGAGTCAAGATCTGAAAAGATTAACATACACAGCTATGATTTAATAAAAAAAATTTTTTTTAAAAGATCTGAAAAGGGAGGAAGAAAGCTGTCACTATGGGAGGGATCTATAATGATGGGATTGATTTGTAAAGGGCATTATTAATATTAGAAAGGTCAATGTTGGATGGTGGTGCCTGTAGCTCAGTTGGCAGGGCCCTGGCCACATACACCTAGGGTGGCAGGTTCGAACCCAGCCTGGACCTGCTAAGCAACAATAACAACTGCAACCAAAAAATAGCTGGGCATTGTGGCAGGTGCCTGTAGTCCCAGCTACTTGGGAGGCTGAGGCAAGAGAATCATTTAAGCCCAAGAGTTTGAGGTTGCTGTGAGCTTTGATGCCATGGCACTTTACCCAGGGTGACAGCTTGAGACTGTCTCAAAAAAAAAAGAGAATGGTCAATGTTGGGATGGTACATGTGGCCAATAGGAGACTTCTTGGTTAAGGAGGGTAAGGGATTATGATAGGGAAAAAGATAGTTGAACAACCCCACTTAACACTCTAGGCCTGTAATGAGATTGTCATATTTCAGAGGATTTATCTTATGCTTGTCAGAGGACAAGAGCTCACAGCTTTAGAGGGCCAGGGTCTCTCCAACTGGAGAAGGCATAAGGTGTAGATCACTCACCTGGGCCAAAGCCATTTGCAGTTCAAGCTCTGCCAGGCGTCTCCCCATACAGCTGCGCTTGCCAAAGCCAAAGGGAAGAGATGCAAATGGGTGGGGGGCTGGATCTTCCCCTAGCCAGCGAGTGGGACGGAAACAATTTGGCTCTGGGAACTGGGAAGGGTCTCTTGAAGTGGCATAGTGACACAGAGTGACCAGCGTCTGGTAAAGAAGGAACACAAACTTATCAGTTGGGGCCCAGGAATGTGGGGGTGTGGGGCATGAAGAAGAGGCTTTGTGGACTAGGACAAAGATAGGCCCCAGGTGGTGATGGGGAACTTTTCTGGAGCTACCTTTGGAACAATTTCTCCATTATATCCCAGAGAGAAGTCAAGGGGAGGGTTTGAAGGGCTTTGGGGAGAATGTTTGAGAACAGGGCTGGGGCCCAAGAGAGTGAGGAGTGACTCAGCAAAAGGCAGCCATAGATTCTACTTACATTTTTGGGGATAATATAGTCACCCACATGAATGTCTTTGTCTGGGACACGGGAATTTCCAGGTACCACAGGGTACAGTCTAGGTTGCAAGGACAAGATGGAGATAGCAAGATGAGGATGAGAGCTCTAGCCTTCTCACTCACTGTCCTCAACTTCAAAACCCATTGTGGCCGGGAGTAGAGTACCATATTTCTTTACTCCCTCTCCCAGCTTCCATCCACTATCTGCTTCCCCAGCATTTTCTCTAGTCCTTCCTTTTTTCCCCTCACCTTAGCACCTCCTTGACCACAGCCTTCAGCAGGGGCAGCTGGGATAGAGTTGTGGCTAGTGAACAGACACTGGAGCCAGGGCCCAGGGCAGCTGTGATCTCTGAGTGGAGTGCCGTCTGGACTTCAGGGTGCCGGGAGAGCTCGTACAGAGCCCAGGAGAGTGTGTTGGACACCTGAGGGACAACAGGTGTTAGGTGAGAGATGGTAGGTGTGGGGACCCAAAATAAGGGGCCGATTAGGGGGCAGTCTGGGGCTTCACACCAAGGAGGTGTGAAGCTAAGCTGGTCTAAGTGGCCATAATGGATCCCCGGCGACAGATAAGTGGCCCTGGAGACTGAGGAGGCTAAGCTCTGGAAGTGTGGCTCATAGTACGGAGGGAGGACCTCACCGTGTCCACTCCAGCCAGTAGCAACTCTGTCACATTCCCCAGGATGGACTGGGCAGGCAACTCTTCCCGGAATAGGAAGTAAGTCAGGTGCGCCCCAGGTCCCATGTCCTCCTCAAGCTTTCCTCGGTTCCTCCGGGCCACCTCGGCCTCTCTCCGCTCCACGTGCTGCTGGGCTGCGTGGGGAGAAGGTGCACTAATGCCTCACTGCTCCTGGACAGCTTTGCTCTTTCTCCTTCCCACATCGTTTCTGTGCCTTACCAAATGCAAACATCTGGTCCCAGTCTCGGTAGAGGCGGCCCCAGGGCCCGGGCACAAGACGGTGTAGCCAGTTGGGCATCGCCATGGTCAAGAGGGTGGACACAAACACCGAGCTCACGGCGCGGATGAAGGTCTCTGTCTCCGGCGGCACTTCTGCCTCCAGGCAGCCTAGGCGCGAACCTAGCAGCACCGCGGCTATGCCTGGCCGGGAGGGGGCGCTGTCAGGGCATCGGGAGACCTGGCCGGCTGCCTCTCATTCCTGCCCCTGACTTGAGACTCACCCTCTAATCCAAACTTGTAAAACTCTCCCGCTACGTCCCGAATCAGAGCAGGCGACCCGGTGCCACGTCCCCGCTGGCGCCTTAGTAGTCGCACGAGATCACCGACCACGTTGTCTAGGGTCCCAGCATAGCTGGCTGCCGCTTGAGGCCGGAGGAGAAGAGGGGCCAGAAGACTGCGGAGCCTCTGCCATTCTTCGCCTTCTCTGCAGGGTGGGGAGAGGGCATGCATCAGGGAGGTGGGGTGTGTAGAATGACTCGACCTGGGTGGCTGCTGCGGAGAAGGAGCTCATTCCGCTGGGGTGGCCAGGAGAGGGATTGCGTCTGTTCCCCGAAGGTACAGAAACCTGTCCCAGCCTGCATCGTCTCCCATCCCCTTCTTCTTTATTCATTTCCTGCCCCCGAGGGGCCTGGGTTCTCGGGTAACCTGAGTCACAAAATCTTACATTCCACCCAGTTTCTGGTACCTTACCCCATTCGGCTGGTCTCCCCAGTTCCCAGCATTCTGGTCTCAAAGGATAAGGTGGTGGCCCGGGGTGAGGCTCAACCTAAGTTTGGGTGTAACAGACTGGGGTGGGAGCCCCGGGATGCCGGAAGGTCGGCCAATCTCCCCCGACGCTCCCATATAGTTCTGGGACCCGCTGCAGGGGAGGACCGCTACCGGGTACCTAGGCTTTGGGGGCAAAGACGACTCACGCGGTGAGCAGTCCGCAAGCTCGCTGGCGGCGGCGACGGTGCTCTACCCAGGGCGAGAAGCTGCAGCGCTCTGGTCGAGGCCCCTCCTGTCGCAACAGCTGCTCGATGAGGACAGGAGCCGCCACGTACACCGTGCGCACCGTCCCAAAGCTGGCCATCCAAACCGGCCCGAAGCGCGCGGCATCCTGCACCTGGGAGAACGCGCGCAGTGGACACTTGGGAGACCCGGGCGAGGACTCTCAGCTTGACCTGTCCCAACGCCTGGGGTGTTGACTGGACTTTGAAAAAGGAAGCTTCTCCCCCTTCTTGAGGGTGCAGCTGATGTATGGCCCTGATACTTCAAACTCGTCCTCTTTCTTCCAATTTCCCATCCCTAGGAAGTTGGTGTGTGATGTGCAAAACGAAGGAACTTTGGGCAAAGAAGACATTCAGGACCTCCCTTTAGTGAGGTTCCTCACATGCACTATTCATCTCAGGACGAACCCTCGGTCAATGAAAAGGAGCGCGTCTAGCTTTAAGTGAAAGCTGGTGGAAAGTACCGCTAGCTTCGCGGTCAGACCACCACCCCGCGCCCCCGCAGTTGTACTGGACCTGCAGGGTCTCCAGACGTCTGCATAGCAAGAGGAAGCTTGCTGAGCGCATTACTCTGCTGGGTGTACGAATGGAATCATCCCTGGTTCCAATTTGCTGTTTCCGTAATTCCTGGGTGTCTGTTCTCAGTGGCCCTCTCTCATATGCTCTGCCCTGATCTGTTCTTTCTGGCGTTGTCAAGTCGGTTTCCCCAGGTAGGGAATGGGCTCCCCTCCTACCTGCAGCTCGTGTAGCCTCGATAGCCCCCCTTTGCAGAAAAGTTCTGCCAGGAAGCTGGGCTTGGAGGGGCCTGGGATGTCTGCCAAGCTCCGGGGTGCCGAGTCGCAGTTTTTGTAGCCGAGTGAGGCGCCCCGCTCAGGGCCACAGCGTACGCGATGCAACACTTTGGAGAAGAACTTGAGGGCCTGGGTCATGGTGTGGTTCAGAGAGCCCACGAAAGACAGGGATTCTCTGGAGCATCTTGCCTAAAGTCCTATTTAACCTTAGGGCTAGGAGGTGACGACGCCCCCTCTCCACGCTCCTCAGCCAATCCCCTCTTCCCGAGTGGTCTGCGCTGAGGCTCAGGAGCAGTAGGCGGGGCTGAGGCTGACTTTCAGGCTCTCTCTGGTCTTGTGTTGCAATGATCCTCATGGGAGGGGGAAGCCTGTCTGAGGTTTTCCTCCTGGGCTAGTGCTCTGTCCAGCTAAAATTCTCCACTGGGTAAAGGCTGTTTAATGCAGATTAGGTCACCAAGCTACACAAGTCAGTCCCTGCTATTCCTACCACTTCCCCACAGCCTCTTCAGGCCCATCTTCAGGAATTCCCCATCCTTCAGCTCCTCCAGGAAGGGCAGCAGGGAAGAGGCACAGCTGTAACAGTCCCCACATTCTTGACTCACTGGGTTGCATCTTCTCCGCACTGTTTCTGCACTAGCTTCATCTCTCTCTCTCCTGTACCTAACCGACACTAGGCAGATGGCAGGTGGCTTACTGGAGTTAAAATGGCTCCAGGTGCCTTCTTTATTTCTTGAGGATAGATGGGGCCTCTTAGGCCAACAAGACCCCTCCTTCAGCCATCAGAATTTGAGGCTGAGGCCAGGCATGGTGGCTCACACCTATAATCCTAGCACTCTGGGAGGCCAAGGCAGGTGGATCACCTGAGCTCAGGAGTTTAAGACCAGCCTGAGCAAGAGTGACAACCTATCTCTATTAAAAATACAAAAACTAGGCTCAAAAGCTAGGGTGCCAGTCACATACACTGGAGCTGGCGAGTTCAAATCCAGCCCAGACCTGGCAAAGAACAATGACAACTACAACCAAAAAATAGCTGGGCACCTGTAATCCCAGGAACTTGGGAGGCTGAGGCAATAGAATTGCTTAAGCCCAAGAGTTTGAGGTTGCTGTGAGCTGTGATGCCACGTCATGCTACCCAGGGTGACAGCTTGAGACTGTGTCTCTTAAAAAAAAAAAAAAAATAGGGTGGTGCCTGTGGTACAGTGAGCAGGGCGCCAGCCCCATATACTGAGGGTGGCAGGTTCAAACCCGGCCCTGGCCAAACTGCAACAAAAAAAAAATAGCCAGGCATTGTGGTGGGTACCTGTAGTCCTAGCTACTCAGGAGGCTGAGGCAAGAGAATTGCCTAAGCCCAAGAGTTGGAGGTTGCTGTGAGCTGTGACACCACAGCACTCTACTGAGGACAACAAAGTGAGACTCTGTCTCTAAAAAAGAAAAAGAAAGAAAAATTAACTGGGTATTATTGTGGGCACCTGTAGTCCCAGCAACTCTGGAGACTGAGGCAGGATTCCTTAAGCCCAAGAATTTGAGGTTGCTGATGTCATGGCACTCTACTCAGGGCAAGAGAGTGAGACTCTGTTTTAAGAAAATAAAAAGAAAAATAAATTGAGGCTTGAAGAACATAAAGGCATTTTTTTGCAAATTAGAAGCCTTCAGAGATTCTGTCAGGGCCATTGAATGGAGCAGTATGTTCTGAATCCTCAGCTGACTCAGTCTTCTCTGGGGGCTATCTGGTTAGCAGCCCCTTTCCACTTTAGTTTCAGAATCCTCCACAGTTTAGCTTTCTGCTCCTCACTCTCCCACTCCCCACTTCCCTCCATGAGGCTTTGTGCCAGTGAGTCAGCTCTGGAGTTCTGGAATCGAAAGTCAATAAGGAAAAGGAGAGGATCTCCACCCCCACCCCTCCCAGGGACTCTCCAGAGACAGCAACAATAAAGGGAGCATAGATTCCCCAAGTCAAGCCTTAGGTGGGGAGGGAATGAGAGGATGGGATAAGGCATGATATACTAGTCTTTCCTGAGAAATGGTGGAACAGACATGTGTGCACACATACATATTATCCCTGGGACCACAAAGTAAACACAGTAGACAGGTGATTTGGGCCTAGTTGGCAGTTTAGATGGACAGTGAAGCATTGCACTCCTCATTCCAGCTGAGGAGAGATCCTATAAAAGGAAGGGAATGCTGAGGGAGGGTAAGACCCCACATCCTTCCAAAGATCCACTCTGGTCCAAAGTTCTTGCCCTTCTCAGTCAGCTTCTTTTGATTTCTGCTAGCAGTGAAGGTAAAAGGAGAGAGGAGCTCGGGGTAGTTGTGAACACTGAAGTTCTTCCCTAGGCAGCTCTCCAACTCTTTGAGAGATCACTGCCTCTTAGTGTCAGCATTCTCAGCTGGGAAGATCCAGGGGTCTTGATCTTCTTTCCAGTCCCTGGAAGATGGGGTCCAGCCAAGGTAGGATAAGCGGTCAGTGACCAGGCAGGGTGGGACTGGGGCTCACTGTCTGGAGGACAGGATCTTGTATTCTTCGGAAGATGGCTGGGAAATTCTTTCCTCCATTGCGAAGAACTTTCTTTCCTTCCTCAGTGGAGGTGCCTAGATGTCTCACGATGGGGTCTTCGCTCTGGAAGAATAAAGAGTCCAGTAAGTTCCTGTGCACCATTCAGACTGCCCTGGTCCCTAGACTCCCATCCCAACCTCTTGGCACTGAGGTGCATTCCAAGAATACAGAACCACTCTGGAAGGGGCCTATATCTTTGCAATTTCCTTTGGCCCCCTACTTACCAGTTCCTCTAGAGATACACGCTCAAACAGGGGGTGCCCTTCAAAATGAGTGCACATCCAGTTGTGTAGTTCCAGCACATCGGTTATGGTATATACCAGCCCCTGCATAGGCAAAATCACTAGACAGGGATGGGGGTGGGGTAGGAGGGTGCAGCATGCAACTGAGTAGCAAGATGATGGAAATGATGACGCAAGTCCCTAAGTGCTCCACTGAATTCTTAGTGAAGGGCCCCTGAGGAGGCCACTTACTTGATCCTTCCCCCTACTCCCGACTCACCCCCACTCTCAGCACGTAGGCATATTCTGCCAGCAGTGTGGGACTGATGATTCGCCACTTGTGCTTCGTCCGCTTGAAATGTGGGTCAGGGAAGAGGAAGAACATCTTGGTCAGCTGTGAGACAGACATGTATCAACAAGGTTGTAAGAGCCTGGCCTCCGTGCTCTGTCTGCTTACCAATCTAACCCACTAGGGCCCCTACCTGGCCCTTGCGGAAGAAGTTAGGAAGGTGCTTCATGGCATTACTGCGGAGACAGGCAATGTTCTGGAAGCCACCTCCAGGAGCTGCGCGTAGGGCCCGAATCCGGTCTTGTACATAGTCTGAGACTTTCACTCGGATCTCCAGACCCAGAATCAGCGTGTCTGGAAACAGCGGTGACAGTTCCACTGGACACAGAGATAGCCATGGAATCATCAACTTCATACCACATATGTATAGGATGTGCAAAGCAGTCAACACAGCAAAGGAAGCCTCAATCCACAACTACCGAAGTCAGGAATGGCAAGTGCGAATAGAGATACCTATATGGATAGTTTTATGCCAAAAAGGCTGGAGGAGATCTGAAAATTGTCAGCAGGACTGGAATGGTAGGGCTAAGGACATATGTATGTTTGAAACTGCTTTAGAGTTTCCACAGTGTTTTCACATGCTTACAACACTGTGTTAAATTGTGAAGATGAGTAACTGAGGGTCAGAAATGCCCACGATCATGCCCTAAGAAGGGGTAGAGTTGGAAAAAGAACCAAGGCTTTGGCTCGGCGCCTGTGGCTCAAGCGGCTAAGGTGCCAGTCACATACACCTGAGCTGGCGGGTTTGAATCCAGCCCGGGCCCACCAAACAACAATGATGGCTGCAACCAAAAACTAGCCCGGCGTTGTGGCCTGCGCCTGTAGTTCCAGCTACTTGGGAGGCAGGGGCAGGAGAATCACTTAAGCCCAGGAATTAGAGGTTGCTGTGAGCTGTGATGCCATGGCACTCTACCCAGGGTGACAGCTTGAGGCTCTGTCTCACCAAAAAAAAAAAAAAAGAACCAAGGCTTTCTGCCTCCAAGTACCATACTTTTCATTTCTATCAGGCTGTTATCTGTATGGGAAGATCTAAAAATAGGGAAGTGGCTTGGCATGCACAGCTGGGACAATACAAGAAGAACCCAAAAAGAACCCAAAAGACATGAGAGTAGAGCAAAAGGAATGAGCACTACTGAGGGAGGGTGCTGGGGGAGGGGAGACAGAGGAATCCCCAAGAAAGACAGTTCAGGATCACTAGCCACAGTGGCTAATCTCTGACGCTTGTGCTGACCGGCTCAGTGACCCGGCACCTGGCAGGTGAAAAGACTGACATAGGCCAGACAGCACAATGTGAGTTCTGAGAGGCATCTGAGGCAGCCCCCTCCATTCTACAGGGCAAAGGCCACAGACCCAGAATAGAGAGAAGGTGGAGGCTCTCCATGCTGATGTCACGGTCTAAAGGAGAAAGGCCAACTATGGCCCCCACAAAACCTGCTGAGGTGGCAAAACCTTGGCCTCCCCTCCACCCTAGAGAAAGGGTCAGAGTGTTACCTAACAGGCCACCATAGCCACAGCCTATGTCTGCAAACTCCACTTGGGCCTGAGCTCTCTTTTCTTTCTTATCCTTTAAGTCATCATGGCTCTGATTTTTAGTGAATGGAGCGAAGAACTCTGGATATAGCTCAGACCAATCCATCTCCTCCGGCTTCACAGGGCTATTGGAAAGAAGATACAAGAAATATGATAAGTTTGGTCATACTATTGCAGAAGTTGTACAGTGAGTGTGTGGGTGGGTGAGGGTGGGAAGTATATGGGTGGAAGGTTTCTCAAAAATTTCGTTAACAGTGGGCCCTGTGGCCTCTAGGAGTCACAACGGAAACCACCCTTAACCCCCAGGGTGAATCACAGGCCCAACATAAGGCCCTTGATTGCTGACCTGCCTTTCTCCACTTCTAGGGGTTGATGTGACCCTGACCGGATGGCTCTCATTTGTGGGGCACAAGTTCCCCTTCTCCCAGAGACTAGCTGCCTACGGCACTGGGATCCTACTCTGTGTATACACTCTGTGGGGAGAGGATGGAGTAAGGTGGGGACAGGCCTGTGTATGTTTGCCTTTTTATTAAATCCAACAAACAAAACTGAAAGATGGAAACGACATTCTCCCTCTATCACAAGTCTCAGAAACAATTCTTTCTCTTCTCAGACTTGGCACCGCTACCTTGACTTAGGCCACAACGCCACACCCCCTCCCAACTGGCCAATTGAGTTCTCTGTCAAATCTTAGAGAACCCCCCCAAACTGACGTCACTCAGCTGCTCCTCTCAGGTCTATCGCAAATCCTCCCCACCGTCCTAGCACAACTGCTCACCCAGACTGCTTTGAGCATCCCGCCCTCCTTTTCTTTCCCACGTCCCGCTCACTCACTAGCGCAGCGTGTGGTCCGCCATGGGGTTGGAGTGAGCACGTTGCCGGTAGTAGCGCTTCTGGGGCTGTGGGGCCTCCGTTCCGGCCGCATTCCAACTCTCGGCTCCCGCCATGACTCGCAGTCCCAGTTTCAACACCAAACCCACGTGGAGACGCCGGCCGGAGGCGCAAGGTGATGACGCCTCGTGCATGCGTGCGCGGACCCCGCCCCTTAAAGACCAAGTAGTAAATTCCGTGGAGGTAGGCGGGGAGGATCGCGAGGTACCTGGGCTGGGGGCGTCTCTGCATTTAGTATCTCAGCGGTCGGGCAAGGCCCGACCCAGGCACACGACCTTGCACCTTAGCTCGCTTCTGCCTGGTCAGGACTATCACCCTGGTGGCAGCACCAGTGCACCCCACAGGTGAGAGAGGACCCGTGACCTCGGCTCCAACAGTAGAATCAATCCTTGCCCCTCTCCCCTGGTTGCGGACCCAGTCTTCTGGGGCTGCCCGGCGTGGTCCTGCGTGAGTCCCATCGGGTATGCGCTGGGGACCGGGCGGGAGGGGCTGCTCCACATTCCACCTCCAGGAAGTCAAGCTGGAGGAAGGAGTGCAAACTTGGGGAGGCGGGGCTCATGCCACCGGGAAGCGGAGACGGTCCGCGGCCCCCAACATCTACCCCGCGACAGACGAGGGACCGCGGCGCCGGCCACGGGGCTGCGCGCTCTCTCCGCGGGATGGCGGACCCCGGCCCTGATCCCGAGTCTGAGCCCGAATCGGTGTTTCCGCGGGAGGTCGGGCTCTTCGCGGACTCTTACTCCGAGAAGATCCAGTTCTGTTTCTGTGGGCACATGCTGAGCATCACGCAGAACTTTGGGTCTCACCTCGGGGTGGCGGCAGGCGTATGGGATGCGGTGAGGCGTGGGCAGCTCCCGGTGAGGGTCCATGGAGGTCCGGATCCCGGACTCCGCCTCTACCAGATGGAGCCCTCACAGAGACTGTCTTTCTCTTTCTTTTCTCCCATAGGCTCTGAGCCTGTGCAATTATTTCGAGAGTCAAAATGTGGATTTCCGTGGCAGGAAGGTGATCGAACTGGGCGCCGGGACGGGCATCGTGGGCATCTTGGCAGCGCTGCAGGGTGCGTGAGCTGGCTTTGCGCGCGGGGGTGGAGTGAGGTAGGTGAGTGGGGGCAGAAACTGTCACATGGTGAATTCTTGGGAGAGGGGATTCCTTTGGGTCCCGTCCGGTCCATTTTAACAAACTATGCCCCCCCACCCCCAGTCCTATGCCTGCTTCTTCGTGGCAGACAGCGCTGATTTGGCTGTCGGAAGACTCATCGTATGCGGATAGGAAATTAAAATTGGACAGGCCTTATAGAACGAGAGTTGTTCCTACCTTTTTGCTTTTTTGTGATTTCATGGAGAAATGATATCATGTATAATCTCCTTTGCTTTGGACACGATTGTCAAAAGTGCATTTTATGGGGATTCCTGTAGGGGAGGGACTTCAGAGTATTAAACCTCATGAGTGTCAGATATGGTGGCTCAAGCCTATAATCCCAGCACTTTGGGAGGCCAAGGTGGGAGATCACTTGAATCTGGGAGTTGGAAAGTTTCAGTGAGTTATATTCATGCCACTGTACTCCAGCCTGGTGACAGAGTGATACCTGATCTCTAAAAACGTAATAAATAAGCCTCATGAGTGATCTGTAACCTTATGAATATATTTTAGATTCTTTAGGTTTCTATTGTTGGTAAAAGCAAGCTTACGAGTTTGTTGGAAGGGGAGGTAGGAGTTAGATACCTCAGACTTGAAAGAAAAGGTAAGGAAAATTTTGCTTCAGTTTTGACAGGATTGAAAATGACAAAGGAAATAGTTCCTTAACTTATCTAATAGGAAGACAAAACTCCACACCAAAAGCACTCATTTAAAACTCTGACCAAGTTTTTTTGAGACAGTCTTACTCTGTCTCCTCAGGTAGATTGTAGTAGTGTCATCACAGCTCACAGCAACCTCAATCTCCAGGGCTCAAGCGATCCTCCTACCTCAGTGTTCCAAGTAGGTGGGACTATAGACAGGCACCTACCACAAGTCCAGTTAATTTTTCTAGTTTTGGTAAAGAGGGGGTCTTACTTTTGCTCAGGCTGGTCTGGAACTCCTAAGCTCAAGCAATCTTCCTGCCTCAGCCTCTCAGAGTGCTGGGATTACAGGTGTGAGCCACTATGCCCAGCCTGAAGTTGAGTTTTAATGAATCCCTAGGAATGCAAATTATCATGTCCTTGTTTATAGAGATAGAACTAGGTCACATTAAGGGAAGTCTACCCAGAGGCAGTCATTCATTCTTCTACTTATTCATCCAAGTTGTACTGCAGGTTCCCTATGTGCCAAGAGTCATGCTAGGTATTGGGATTCAACAGTGAATAAGAGAAATTTCCTCTCCCCCAGGAGCTTACAGTCAAGTGGACAAGATAGGGGAAAATGTTGGTTATAGTACAAAAACTATGGTGAAAGGTGCAAAGAGCCTTTGGACGTGCTCTGTCCATGTTTGCATGGACTCCTGAGAATCCCTCAAGGGGAAGCTCTGTCAGGTGAGAAGGAAGTGAACAGTATGAGCTCAGCAGGCTCAGAAACAACAAAGGGAGTGTCAATAGCAGTTTTTCCATGAAGTATGAGTAGATGAGAGAAAGGCAGTTATGTTAGAAGGGAAAGAAAATGGCTTGGCGCCTGTGGCTCAAGCGGCTAAGGCGCTAGCCACATACACCTAAGGTGGCGGGTTTGAATTCCCAGCCCGGGCCCACCAAACAACAATGATGGCTGCAACCAAAAAATGGCCAGGCGTTGTGGCGGGCGCCTGTAGTCCCAGCTACTTGGG